GGGCCGTTTGCATTTTTTTTTTTTTTTTTTGTCGCTGTGGTTGCGTTTTTTAAAAAACGCTTCTGTGGGTCTGGGCAATATGCGTTAACGAGTTAATAGATTCACCCAAAAATTTAAATAAAGCTGTCATCATATACTCACCTTTATGTAGTTGTAAACCGATATGGCTTGATTTCTTCATTGGCATACAGAAATGTTGTAAATAATGTTAGTTTCAGTCAGCTATTTAGATATTTTTCCCCCACAGAAGAAATTCATAATGGTTTAGAATGACATGAGGGAGAACAAGCTAAAACCCCAGTTAAAAGAATTGTTTTCATAAGAGTACTTGCATGTCAATACATTATACATTTTTAAAGTAAACATCAGGTTCAGTGTAGGCAAACTTGCATTGTTATTACATTGTGTGGTGTGCATTTTCTGAAAACATGTCTCATTCAATCTAGATTTGAGATGTAGAACCATTTAATGGCCTTTTGGAGAGTTATTGAACCTGCATTCAACATGGTTTGTGTGACCAGAGCGAGAACAGCTACAACGAGGAGAGAAGTTATAGTAGGAATAACAAGCAATGCAATGGTAAATATTGCTATTATATTATTTGTGACAACGAAAATGTTATATTTATTTTTATTTTTTTGATGTGCACGTTACATGCATGTAACATAATTATTTAAAATGTATTTTGACAGTGTCAGTCTCTGCAGCCCTTCGATGAGTTCCTCCTCTTCAGTCCACCTTTCAGTCAGTCTTCCACAGAGAGATCTGGCCTTACACAAAACACTTGGGATGGATTCATTTGGTTTTATTTGTACAGACTAGAATATTAAATATAATGTAAATGCAAATATATATAACTTTAATACAGTTTCTTGCTCACTAGTGTAATCTAAACATGTAAATATAAACACGTACATTTTAGAAACTTTGATACAGTGTAATAGTTATTTAAAATACCAATAACTGTGATAGTGTAATGGTATGTTTTTTTTTTTAACACTTCTGCCACTTGGAGGACTGATAGGTCAAGCAGATCACTGGTGACGCCACTGTAAACATTCTCCTGAGATGAAAAACAAAGGTATAGTGTAAATTGACCATTAAAAAAATAAAAATCTTCCACCAGTCATTACATGTTGCATACATTATGAATGGAGCCATATTCAATATGATTGTGTTTTTGTCTTTTTTCTGCTAGGGCTAATCATATAGGCATGTTATACATTATGAATATAGCAAGATATAAAAATATGTAATTAGACCAGTGATCCTCAAATCTGGCTCGCGAGATCCACTTTCCTGCAGAGTTTAGCTCTAACCCTAATCAAACACCTGAGTTTGCTAATCAGTGTCTTCCGGATCATTCAAAAATCACTGGTATAGTTGTTTGATTAGGGTTGGAGCTAAACTCTGCAGGAAAGTGGATCCCGCGAGCCAGATTTGAGGATCACTGATATAGAGAACCAGGAATTTTCACTACAGAAAATAGTTGTTAAAATATCCTGTTGGACTCTTAAAAATATAATTTATAAACAAATGACACAGTGCAGTGATGTAGGATGCAGACCTTGTCTGAAATGACAGATTACAGAAGCATTGGCGGTAGGATATCCTTAAAAC